GCTCTGAAGCTGGGTCTGTCTGGCTCCTGCAGGTGGTGGAGGGGATGGAGAAGCCCTTGTCCAAGAGGCAGGTTGCAAGAAGATGCCATGTGACTCCGTGGTCACCTGACAGACGTGTCACCTGTTCCCACCCAGGCACTGTGCTGTGTCTAGTAGTGCTGTGTAGCATAAGCTGCAGATTCGAATCACTGGAAAAAATCCCCCAGAGGGAGGGTTCTGCCTCCAGAGGTTCTGACTTACTTTGTCAGTAAAGCAGATGTGTCACTGATATGATCGTTATTTTTAACCGCCTCCACCCTCGAAAACAGAGCAAGGATAACAGGACTGGGTGGACTCTTTGTACAGGACTCATCCTTTCTTCTTTTGCATAGCAAATTATCTCAAAGTTAACAACCTAAAAAATACTATTTACGAGCTCACTGGTCTGCAGCTCAGCTGTCTGGGAGGGCACACCCGTGTTCTCTGCTCAGGGTTCACAAGACCTAAGTCAGGCTGTCATCTGACACTTAGCAGAAGTCTCCAAGGAAGAACCCTCTTTTAGGCTCATTCAGGTTGCAGGTTATTGGTAGAATCTTTTGTTTCTTTTGTGTGTAGAGGGGTGATATGGCGGTACGGGGGACTGAACTGGGGGCCTTTGCACTGGGCTACATTCCCAGCCCTTTAATAAAATGTTTAATTTGGAGACAAGGTCTCATTAAGTGGCCAACTTGCCCAGACGGAGTCCTATCTGCAATCTTCCTGCCTTAGCCTCCCAGGGTGCTGGGGTTACAACTACAGGACCAAGCTTCCTGTGATATCACCAGCTGTCAACCAGGGCCACCTCCATCTCCACATATATGGGCCCTTTCATCTTCAAAGGAGTAAAGAATATTGATTCTTTTTCATGCCTAAAATCTTTTGGGGTTCTACTTCTCCTCTCATTTTTCTGCTGCCAGCTGGACAAGGTCCTCTCATCTTAATGGCTCACATGATTAGTTTGGAACCACATAGATAATGTTCTTGTAGGATCGGGGTGCTTTATGACATAATGCCCACACAAAGTTTATAGTTTGAAATCTCCAGGGCTATTTTTAGAAATTCAGCCTATCGTATATCCCAAGCACCCAAATGAGTGCCTGGCACATAGTAAACCATTAAAACATCCTTGTTAAATGAGAGAATGGAGTCATGACATTTTTATGGTAAAGGAAAATAAAGAGAAAGCAAAGGAAATGAGTGACTGATAAATGGATCATTTATCATATATAAGCTAAGCATTTATTACTTTAAAAATGTTATTGGATGTAACACACATAAACTTCCACAAATCATGAATAGAGTATCCATCTCAAGCCACGTTCACGTGTACACAGTACAGTTCACGTGTTCACATGCACACAAGTCACAGTACACACATATGTAAACCATGTAGTGATCAAGAACAAGACTGCAGATGTCCTCCTGGGCTCTTCCTTCCAGTCCCTACCTCTGTGTGGCTTCCATCCCACAGCGAGGGGAACTACTGTCTTGATACCTAATGCCATAAATTAGCAAATAAATGGAATCACCATGTACTATGTCCTCTTTTGTGTCTGGCCCTTTCTGTTCAACATTCGGCTGTGTGTGCTGCTAGGCAGCCTCTAAGGGGCTCCCAGCGATCCCATCTTTTGGTATTTTGGCCTCGTCCAACCCCCTCTTCTTGAATAACCTGCTTGAACTAATAGGATATGGGGTGGCATTTCGATGAGTAGATCGCAAAGGCTGTGGCTCTCTTCTTGGTAGCAGATATTTTGACCACCCTTTGGGCTTGCATGCTTGGATGAAGCAGCCTGCCATGTTGGGAGGCTACCAAGGCAAAGTACTGACGGTCGCCTCCCCTGCACAGTCACCAAGGAGCTGATGTCCTCAACCCCATGGCCTGCAAGGAGCTGATTTCTGCTGGAAACCACACAAGTCTGAAAGCTGATCTTTCCCCCTTCCAGCCTTCAGATGACTCTATGGTATCTATGCCGAAATTACTGATCCACAGAAATGGAGATAACAAATGGATATTGTTTTCAGACATGAAAGTTCGGTGTAATCTGTTATCAGCAAGAGATAAGTAATGCACCTGTAATTCATCCATGTTGTTGAAACAGTTTTAATTCACTCATTCTCATTACTTTAGAGCAGGGCTTGGCAAATAGGGCTTTTTTTCTGAAAAGAGCCAGACAGGAAACATTTTAAGCTTTGTAGACAGACCATGAAGCAAAATTGAGGGTTATTATATAAGTACTTGTGTATAATGTCCAGGTATTGTGAAATATAATACTCAGACCCTAACCCTTTAGACATGTAAACATCATCCTTAGCAAATGGCATACATTAACAGGTGGTGGGACATATTTGCCCCACTGGCCATAGTGGCCATAGTGTGTTGATCCCTGATAAATCATATTGTTTACTTACATCACAGTTCACTTATCCAGTTCTACCATTCATGTGTAATTGGGTGATTTCCCATTAGGAGGCTACTGGAAACAATGTAGCCAAGACTAGTCCTGGGCATCTCTTTTGTAGAGAGTGAATATACATGTTTGCTATATTCCCAGGAGCAGAAATGCTAGGTTACAGGATAAGTGAATATTCATCTTAATGTGGCAAAAGGTTTTCCAAAGTGATTATAATTGCTTACATACCACCAGCAATAAGAGTCCTTGCTTTTTCATAGTCTTGCTAAGAGTTGGTATTTTCTGTCTTTTCAAATTTTTGCCATGCTGGTAAGAACTATATATATATATTTTTTTCAAAGCATCCCAGATAATTCAAATCTGAGAGGCATGAAAACCTCTGTTTAATGGATGCTTATCTTTTATTATCTTTTACAACCACATGAAGTTATTCTATGTATTGGCCTGAAGAATAGTGAAACATAGGCTATTTCATATGGTTCAAACTAATATTTCCTTCATATCTTATTTATATTTATAATAACAATGAAATTTGATTAGCATGCTCATTTATTGGGAAAGATAGTAAAGACCTGAGCATAAAGTTTCCCATGAACAGTGGATTTCAATGACTTGTACATTTTAATATTGTCCAGATCTTTTTTGATTTTGCTTTTTTTTTTTTTGGTACCAGGGATCGAATGTCCAGGTCTTTAAATTGAAACTATACCAATGGTTTCCAGACTTGCTGAAGGTTAGAACATCTGGGCTTCAATCTGGGTGTAGTAGTGCATGCCTGTAATCTAAGCACTCTGGGTGGCTGAGACATTGGATCACAAGTTTGAGGCCAGCCTGAGCAACTTAGCAAGATTCTGTCACAAAATAAAAAATAAGAAGGAGTTGGGGATGTGGCTCATTGCAAAGGTCCTGGGTTCTATCCTCAGCACCAAAATAAATCAGTCAATAAATACCACTACAGAAATCCCCAGAGATCCTGATTCTGTGAGACTAAGGTGGGACTTAAGGGATATATGAATGTAGAGCCAGGTTTGGGGACCACTGATATTACCTGCCCTATGGTCTCCCCCGCTCTTTACCAATCTAAAGGAAGATCTAACACTTTGATGATGTTAAATACTGGAAGTGGGAGGAAAGCACCTGCATTTCAGTTCTCTCCAGATCTCAGGATGCCTGGCTACACAGTAAGTTGGAAGATTGTTGTTCCCACGAAAGTTGTGTCTCACTGGACAGGTATGTCTCTATTGTACTTAGATTGGAAACCTCATGTTTAATTTGCACACAGTTCTATGGACTCAGAGTTAATGTATCACCAGGAGTATTTAACGGTTACATGCAGGTAGTTTCAAAAGGACCTAGACACAGGCATATTACCCAACATGAGGACCAAGCACTTAGCAACTAGAAAAATATGTATGTACTTGGAAACAAAACTATTTTGAAAAATATGTTTTTCTGATGACTGAGGCAAAGTTTGTTTACATATTCATAGAAAGAATCAGATATTTGTACTTCCTTATTCTGCAGAGTATTTTTTTAAAAAGTAAAGCCTAGAGGAGGATGGACAGAAAATCTGGGGGCTGAGTGGGTTTGGTACCAGATGCATTTTTGAGCTTAAGTCCTTTCCAAGTCTAAATCCAGTCTTAAGCTTGATTTGTTCCCAAGACCATTTCAGCTTTCCTACCAGTCATAAGCGCACCTGTATTTCCTTATGCAGGAGCAAAAAGGGTGGGAGCTTACTCAACAGTATTTACCTATCGCCATCCACGTGGTTCCCTTATCCTTTCTATTTAGTGTCTCCAGCACCTGCTCGAAGAACACTGGTTCTCAGGCATAGTTCATGATCAGCCTGTTGCAGGCCAGGCAGGCTACAAGCCGTCTGCTTTGGAAATCCGTTTTTTTCTATGGTGTGACACCCAACAGTGGAACCCTGGCTCCTAGGTTTTGCTCCTAGGGGATGTTGCCCGTTGGGGATCTTGAAGCCACTCCCTATTCACCCATTCCTATCAATCTTTAGTCAACAGAGCCACCTCAGAGGAACAGCAGACCTAGGCGGCACCTGGAGGGATTCTCCACAAATACCACATGTCCCCGGGCGCCAAGGAACAAGTCTGAACCGCACCCTGAGCAGCGGATCGGTAGCCCAGATGGAGGACCACAGAAAGCAGGGGGCTTGGATGAGTGGCCCAGGGCCTAACCTGTATATTGCATCGCAATCCCAAACGCCCCGCAGCCTCCGGCCACAGGTTGCCAGGTACCTGGTTGCTTCTGATCGACAGCTAAGGTCTCACTCTTCAGCCCCGCCTCTTAGCGCCTAAGGAGACCGCACACGGCATCCTGGGAGATGTAGTCCTCGTCACCGGCCGGGACGCCCAGGGTTCCCCCAGTTCCCATTCTAAATGTCTACAAGGGATTGCTTGCTGTGGGCCTCGAAAGACACCGAGATACCGTCCGAGTGTGGCGGTGGAGTGGAGAGGGACCCGGGTTGTCCCCGCGGGGCGCAACGCGGCGAGGACTACATTTCCCAGCCTGCCCACGCGGAGAGGAGGACTACATCTCCCAGGCTGTCCCGCGCCGAGCCGGAGCCTCTACTCGCCTCGCGTGACCGCGGCAGGTTGGTCCGCGAGCCGAGCAGCGCAGGCTATTTAGGCGCGGGCGAGAGGAGGGGGGGCGCGCGGGCTGGAGGACTTCCTCGGCCAAGACAATTATGCATGCGTTAGGGCACCTCTGACAGAATGGCTGTGGAAGGTAAGGGTCGCTTGGGGCACGTGAAGCTCCTTCTTCACTCGCGCACCCGTCCACTCTTCCCTGACGAATCCCGGAGACGTGGGGCGCAGAGGAGAGGCTCGGGGGTGGCGGAGCCGGGGTCCCGTCCTGCTGTAGCACCCGGCACTCACCTGAGCCCGCAGGCCACGCGCCCACTCAGCCGCGCTGCCGACGGGGAGATGCACTGGACGCTGGC